GAGGCACTGGTTTTTGACCCGGACTTGCAGATTGAGTGGTGGTTTATTGGTGTATATATGAGCTGTGATGCTAGTATTAGGAAACAACAGTGGAAAGTCTTGACTGCGAGACAACAATTGTGGGGTGATAAATGGCTTCTAGCAGGGGACTTCAATGACATACTCACTAATGAAGAGAAGTGGGGAGGAAAAGCAAGAGCAGAGAGGAGTTTCAAGGATTTTAACAGCTTTATTGAAAATAACAATCTTGTGGATATAGGTTTTACTGGTAATCCCTGGACATGGAGCAACAATTGGGAAGGTGAGGGGGAGATAAGGCAAAGACTGGACAGAGGATTGAGCACCATTAACTGGTGCCAATATTTTGACAAGGCCAAATGTGAACACGTGGAAACTATTGGGTCAGACCACAACATGCTGCTCATAGACAATTGGCCTAGAATAGAAAAAAAAAAGATCAAGATTCTTTTTTGATAAGAGATGGCTCAAGAGGGAAGGGATCAGTCAAGTGGTTGAGCAAGCTTGGAAACAAATAGTGGAAGGAAATAGGATGTATAGGATTACAAGGCAGGTTGCTAACTGCAAAGTGGCTCTACTCAAATGGAAGAACAACTTCATAGGAAACTCTTTCCTAAGAATCAATCAAGTGAAGCAACAGACTAAGGAGATCAAGGACTCTAAGGAATCAGGTGTTAAGGATAAAATTTCAGAATTAAAAAATCAGTTGAAAGAGGTCTACACTGAAGAAGAGCAGTTTTGGGCTAAAAAAGCAAGGATTGATTGGCTGAGAGAAGGGGATAAGAACACAAAATTTTTCCATGCTTGTGTGAAGGGGAGAAGAAGGCGAAATAGGATGCTTAACATACAAAGAGAGGATGGATCTTGGACAAAAAGTGAAGAGCAGCTGGGAAAGGAAGTAGCTGACTACTATAGAGCCCTTTTTGCTAGTTCTGGTAGTGAGGGTCTGGGTGAGATTCTAATTTATACCTACCACAATCATTACTGAGATGAATGCAAGGCTAACTAAGGAAGTAGAGGAGATGGAAATTAAATCTGCTCTTTTTTCCATGAATCCAAATAAGGTACCAAGCCAAGATGGCATGAATCCCTTGTTCTTTCAAAAATTTTGGCATGTTGTGAAAACAGATTTAATTGCTACCATTAGGCATTTTTTTTATTCTAGCAACATGCCTAAATCTTGGAATCATACTGTCATTTCCCTCATCCCAAAAATCCAGAATCCCACTAATTTGAAGAGCTATAGGCCAATTAGTCTCTGTAATGTTGTGTACAAAGTGATTTAAAAAATATTGGCCAATAGACTCAAGAAAGTTTTAAGTCATTGCATTAGCAAAACTCAGGCAGCTTTCATCCCTGGCAGACAAATTCTTACAATGTCATTCTATCTCATGAATATTTGCATTTCATGAATAATAAGAAACAAGGACAAAATGGCTTTATGGTTGTGAAGTTAGACATGTCAAAGGCCTACGATAGAGTGGAGTGGAAATTCCTTGATGCCATGATGGAAAAGATGGGTTACTGTACAATCTGGAGGAAGTGGATATGGAGCTGCCTCTCCTCAGTTACATACTCTTTCAATATTAATGGAGTACCAAAAGAATTTGTAATCCCAGAAAGAGGAATAAGACAAGGTGACCCACTGTCACCTTATCTTTTCCTATTGTGTTCAGAAGGTTTCTCCAACTTATTGAAGCAGGCTGAAGGAGATAAAAGGATTACAGGGATGAAGATAAGCAGAAATGGGCCAAGATTGACACTGTCACCTTATCTTTTCCTATTGTGTTCAGAAGGTTTCTCCAACTTATTGAAGCAGGCTGAAGGAGATAAAAGGATTACAGGGATGAAGATAAGCAGAAATGGGCCAAGATTGACTCATTTATTCTTTGCTAATGATTCATTGATCTTCTGTAATGTTGACAAAGAGGAAGCCCGTGAACTTGTTCAAATTTTGAGGAAGTATGAGAAGGGGTTTGGTCAATCCATAAATCTAGAAAAGTCCTCAGTTTTTTTCAGTAGCAATGTCAGTCATCAGAGGAAAGGGGAAGTGAGACAAAGCCTAGGCACAAACCAGGTGGCTACTCAAGGAAAATATCTGGGGCTCTCTATGGTGATAACAATATCTAAACAGCAAGTTTTTGGCTTTATTAAGGACAATATCAGTAAAAGAATGAAGAGCTGGAAAAACAAGCTGCTCAGCCAAGGAGGGAAGGAAGTATTATTGAAGGCAGTTTCCATGGCAATGCCAGTGTATACAATGTCCTGCTTTAAACTTCCAAACACATGTGCAAAGAAGTGACCTCCATTTTTGCTAAATATTGGTGGGGAGAAGCTGAAGGGAGAAATAAGATGCACTGGTGCTTGTGGGGAAGATTGACTATGGAGAAAAAAGAGGGAGGATTAGGCTTCAAGGATTTGCAGAATTTCAACAAAGCCTTGCTGGCTAAACAGGTTTGGAGGTTGATTTCCAAACCAAATCTCTTAGTCAGCAAGGTCTTGAGGGCAAATTATTTTCATAGGGACTCAATCTTCAAGTGCAAAGTCCCTAAGTGTGCTTCCTGGATCTGGCAAAGTCTGATGAACGTGAGAGAATTGGTGCAAAATGGAACTAGAAAGAAGATAGGCAATGGCAAGGCAACAATCATTTGGGAGGATAACTGGATCCCTGGTAATGAGGATGGAAAAGTCACCTCAGTAATGCCTCAGAACTGTAATATCAGAAGAGTAGCTGAGTTGATCAGTGGATTTAGGTGGAATAAACCATTAGTGTTTAGAACTTTCAATCAAAAAGATACGGAGGAAATCTTGGATATCCCTATCAGTATCTCAGGAAGGGAAGACAGTAACTACTGGTTACATAGTGGTCATGGAAGCTACACGGTCAACTCAGAATACAAGGCACTGTGCAGAGAAAGAACTCAATCCAGGGGAAGAAGAAATAATGAAGCAGAAACAAGTTCAGTAAATTCCAAAGGGAAACAATGGAAGTGGCTGTGGAAATTGAAGGTCAAAAGCAAGTTAAAACACTTCATCTGGAGGAGCCTAAATGGTCTATTACCAGTTAACGGCCTGGTGTTCAAAAGAACACACCAGGGGGATCCAATCTGTGATGGATGTGGAGAAAAGGAAGAGTCAATTGAACATATGTTTTTTCATTGCAGCAGAGCTCAAGAGGTTTGGAAGATGGCTCCAGTACAGTGGGATGGCTTAACTGAACAGACAGGAAATTTCATAACTTGGTGGACTGCTATGTTGGATGCCATATGTAGGACAGAGGGCAGGGAACATATAGAGCTAACTATGAACATACTATGGGAAATATGGAAAAGGAGAAATGAATGGAAGTCCAATGCAAAACGTAGACATACTTGGAAAATAGTTAAAAAGGCTCAACAGGAATGGCAAGAGCAAGCAACAGCTTGGAGTAAGGAGAAAATGACCCCTGAGGATGCTGAAAGAGATGAAGAGAAAGTAGAACCAGAGGAGGTAGGATGTGATGAAATACAGATCAGAATCTCAACTCAAGTGCAAAAACCAACTAATAGAATTGGCACAGGGATTATGGCAACTAACTTCAACCACCAGCTGGTGGCAGCCTGGGCACTCATTGACAGGAAAGCAGGGAATCAGTTGCAGAATATTGTTGAAGCTGTGAAGATGGCCATTATAAAGGCCAAACAATAGCAATGGCAGAATATTACAGTCTATGTGCCCAGCTCTCAGCTGTTGAAAGGGTTAACGGAAGGGATAGCCAAGGATATCAAAATGGCTACTTTGACTGATGATATTAACAATCTCAGAGCTTTATTCCAGAAACTCTTTTTGTTTAGATAGGAGATTAGATTCCAGATGTCAATTGATTAGTGATTATGCTTTAGGCATATTTCAAGATGAGGAATGGATCAATCCTCAATGTGTCTAACACTTTTGTATAGTACTACTTGAGCCTTTGCTTATATAAGTGTACATCCTTTTGCCAATCAATACAAAAACTACCGTTGCTGAAAAAAAAAAAGACCCTGGTGGAAAACAATAGTCCTATGACTATGAACCCTCATTTTCATAGTTAACTTTAAAAAATACCCCACAGGATTCAAGATTATAGAAAAACCTATCCGTTCTCCCCCTCTCTTTAACATCTATTAGAATTACCCTATATCTTCATATCTCTTAGAAGCTCATAATAACTAGACTCCTTTTCAAAGAAAACCACAAAAGAAAAGAGAAGTGATTGGACTAATAGCCACTAATCTTAAGCGGATCCAAGATCGATTCGAGGGCTAGAGTATGCATCTGACTTGACTAGGGGTTGAAGATCTAATAAGGTGCTACTACGATCAAAGAAGGAAAGTTGGATAGTGATCCTAGACGAAGAGATAATAGTGATGATGGTGGTAGTTAGTGGGATTTTGAGGCGGAGGAGATTGGTGAAAATCATGTGGAAATGGTGATTTCTTAGGGTTTTTGAGGGTGAAGTCCAACAAGGTGAAATCCATTCTCTATTCTTTTACAAGTTCAAAGGGACTCCAAGGTCTAATTGTAAATTTTTTTAACATGTTTCAAACTTATTTTAATCAAAGACCAAATTTCTTGTACATGGATTACAATGTTATAGGAATTTTGTGCAAGCTATATTGTTGCTCTTCCAGTTTTTTGGGGAAGCATTTTGTCAGGGTTGGTTTTGAGTTGATTGTCATTTCCTCTTTAACTCTGATAAGAACGTGATTTTGGGACAAAAACACCAAGGGATGAATAGGGTTTTCTCATGAATCAATAATGACTGAAATCTGTTTCTAATTGACAGAATTGGGTGAATTGTACTGCAAAAACTTTGTAAGTTAAAGATCGTTTAGTGCTGCAATTGAAAGTTGAGGTAGCAAAGTGCAATGTTAGAATAGCTAAAGGCTAGAAACTGCAGCTAACCCATTAAAAAAAGGAAAATGAAAAAAAAAAAAAAACACGTAAGACTTCTAATTCTAACGGACCTACATACAACAGTTTTGAATTTTTTTTTTGGGTAGGTTATACAACAATTTTGATTTGTCGAAACTCAGTAGACAAATCCTCACTTGATCAATAATGGAGTCCTCTTCATCTTCTCTATCTTCCTCAGCTTCTCTATTCCCACCATTCTCTCCCTCCCTTTGGGGCTACATCATCTTATACATCCTCCGCCCCTTTCTCGCCATACTCTTTGCCCTCTCTGTATTACTTTTTGGTAACCATTTATCAATTGCACAATCTCCGTTTGCATAAATTCCTCAGAGAAGACATGTTGCTTGAAAAACGTTGATTGATAGTTATTTTCAGTGAGAATTTTGATGGATTTTTTGTTTTGTTTTGGGTAGGGTGGTTTTTGGCGTGGAAGCTGGTGCTTGTTCATGTCCCGTTGGTGCAAGAGATCTTTGGTTTGCGTAAGAAACCGGTCAAGGCCAAACCCGAGAATCGCCGGCGACTCACGAAGTTCTACAACAGCATTGATGCCCGAAATTCAGCTTCTTGATGGTAAAATTTTGATTTAGACAACTTCGATTGAGGTCATGATTTGTGATTATTATGTACTAATTGATTTTTGTGTTAGCACATAAAAATCGTGCACCAATTTACTAAGTCTAGTTAATTGTCATGCCACAATTTTGATTGAATTTCGACCTTTCATTCGTGCAAAGAAGTTCTACCACCATTTTTCTTCTAGTTTTTTAGTAAGAAAGAGAGATATTTTCCTTGTAATGGATTTTAAGGAGGGGGTTGAGCTAATATCGTTCAGGTAGACTGGCAAAATTTCAAGAGCGTGTTTGTCGTTGGTTGTGTTTTTCTGGCGTTGTAGAAGGTCAATGGAAGGTTAGAGCTGCCTAAGATTGTAATTGGTATGAGTTAAGGTGCTCTTTCTGATGGGTATTGCGTGATTTATTTATGGTTTAAAGATTGATCTTTTGTAAGATATTCATCATCGTTAGAAGTTCAAACGCAAATTGTGGGTGATTCTAGAATAATTTCCACTTTTTTGTTTCACAGTGGGCTTCTGGGATACTCCACTGACTGATCATTGTGAGTTCTATCTCACAGATTGCAGCATCCAGGTCATCATTTGCATTGGTAGGTTCTATTAGAAATTAGTGGGAGGAGAATTCTTAATGTTAGGCAAGAGAGTTTTGTCCTATGGTTCTAAATTTTTTTTACGTGTAATGACATACAGGGTCCACTTGTGCAACTTGTGCATGAGAAAAAGAAGAGCTTTCTTTGAAAGAGATTGCTGTAGTTTATGGTTTAGAAAGTAAATAAGTTGATAAATACTTGTAAAGGAATATATTAAAGTTGGATAGAAAATTGTTAGAAAATTTAGAAGGAAGGCAATTGATACTGTACCTTTTGATAAGATCTTAGTGCCAGGGGAAGAGCTTTTATCAAGGTTTCTGGCCAAGGTTGCTGAGTTTCGATTCTGGTGAGGAAGTTATCAGGCAAAAGTACTTCTGGGAAGTTTTCTCCATTGTATGCTTGATTCTATAAGAAATTTTAGCAGGTCTTCAATTGAAGGAGCAATGAATTTATGGGAGCTTCTACAGTACATTTTAGGTATCATACCCAAACTTTTTAATTAATCGGACGATATTTAGGAACATTATTGGTTGTTAGATTTGATAAAGTACAATAACAGGATGATGTAGACTAAAGCATATAATCCTCATAATTGTAAACTGGTTCCGGTCCAGATTTCCTGTTCCTTTGAGTTTGAACTTGGGCAATCTCCTCCATCGTATATCCCAGAGTGCCACTGTGATTATCTTCTGCTCTCTTTTAATCCTTGTTCAGATGTTGTAATTAGCCAAAATTTGTTTTCATATGAAGTTTCTCAATCCCATTGTCTTGTTTCCTCTTTCCTTCTTAGTATTCTACTGGTGTATTGATATGTATTGATTCACTCCTCTAGTTTTAGTTTTTAGTTTGGGATTTGGTACTGTGATCCCCATTTTTTTTTCCATTTGAGTACTTCATTCTGTTTTGATCTCATGTTGTAATTTGAATTTGTTGATAGTTTTGTAAGTTTTGTATGCCACTTGTTTGAATTGTAAGGCATGTAATTTGTCCACTGATTGAATAATTAGTGGTTGTACCATTTTCCATTAATGATTTGAAAAATGAAAGATCATTTCAGTTTTGGGTTAAATTCTTAGTCAATTCAGTTTGATATTCTTGTTTTTCTGACAACTAAGATTTGACATTGCTGAATTATCTGCTTTCAAGTAACAGGAGTGTATTTGATCACATGCTATTGATTTGTTCATCAACCTTTTTTTTTTTTTGGTTGTTATTGCTTGCCCTTTAGCTCCTTTTCTTCCTTCGCTGCCTAGCCAACCAATCTTTCTCTCTGAGATGTCCTTGTTAGAACAGTATCTTACAATTTAACTTTGATGCAAATGATGAGCTCAATATGCCGGTAGAGGGGCTTATATAAGAATTAGCTTAGTAGTCAACTTGGAATTAACAGCTTATTTAAGTTTTAGACTTCATGTGATTGATACGCATAAATTTTCTTTTGGGCCGACAACCCTTTTTTTTGTTTTGGGGGGGGGGGTTGGTTTATATCCCGACTTGGTAGTTCCAATGCTTTGGTGCTGGAGTCGGACTGAGTGATATACAGTGGTGGCATATTGGATTTTGGGTTTGTGATGTTTTGAGACTAAGGCAATTGTTTGTGAATGCGGGGAGAATAGCGTGGTTATTTTTCCACTTGTTTATAGCATACTGTTGTATGCAATAATAGTGTGATTTTTTTTTTGGCTTACATTCTGATCGATTTTAATTGCGTATATGCAATTTTCTATTGGATCAGAAACTTAATTATGTATCCTTGTTCACCATTGAATCTTCTGTGTTTTGGTGTTTACAAAGAGTCGTTACCTCAATTTATACAAGCAAATTTCATTACTTTGGTTAGCGCTGAAAAAACTGCCATTTATTCATCATAACAAGTTGGATTAGCTGAAATTTGTTTCCTCCCTCCTCTCCTTGAGTAAAACTACTGGCTTGTATTCTTATTATATTTTCTTTCCACTTGGATGCATATCGTTTTTGTCTTGTATTCTTGATTTCTATCCAAGTACGACTTTCTGACTGTTTATGGTTGTCGATCAAACGATCAAACATGTTCAACCCTATTTGTGTGATTTTTGCAGGTTCTTATCCAAGATTATAGCAGTGAAATGTATTCATGAACAGAACTGTTGATTGTGGACTTCCATTGTTCCTCTCATTGAATTGATCATTGACTCAGACAACTAATGTTAGTTTGATGAGTGCCATCAGGAAGGTGATTTCTTTGTGCTGTAAAAATTTCAACAGTGGCTTTGGATCATCCTTACTTCAGCGTTGTTTTAATGCAGATTTATCCATAGAACTATTATGGTGATACTCTGTCCGAGTGGTACCCATGTTAATTGTAAAATTGTAGGCCCAATGCTCAATGTTGTGTTCCATTTAAACTCACATATTCTTCGAATTTTTAATTAGCCCCTTCTGTCCGCAGCTACAATGTAATTGCTTATGTTTCTGCAATGAATTTCTTTCTAGTATTTGGATTTTATCTTAAGCTTTCCTGCTGTGGTCCTTTTGCTTTTCATGCATGATGTGATTTTGTTTGTTAGTTGGTAATTTTTTACACTTGTAACCCTAGTAGCTGGAAACTTAATCTTGCATCGTATGAAAGTAGCATATTTTGCTGCCTTATTATTTCTAGGGATAATTTCAGAAACCTCCCCTGAGGTTTCTGACACTTTCACTGACATCCCCTGAGGTTCTCAAAATTTCACTTACCTCCCTTGCTTTTGATTTTGTGGTAACAATCCAGTCCAAATCAGATTAAAATATTATTTTCATGTGTGAGAAGGTATTTTTATTCCATAGCTACCCTTTGCAGAAGTTGTATTAGTAGAAGATTCAAAGAAGAATAAATGATTTGGACTAATTAGTAAAGTTGACGGGGGGTAAGTGGAATACAAAAAATTGCATGCACCAGATGTGCCATGCAACAGTTATTTGGCAGATTTTGCAACGGCTAGCTGCAAATTGCAACGGCCAGAAGGTTTGCTGTTTCAGTAGCAATAGCATATAAAGCAAAGCAACTTAACTACCTCTGAGGTTTCAAGCTATTAACATTCTTTGCTACTAATTTGGAGTGATAACAAGTGCATTTGCTGTGCTACAATTAGAGCTCTGAGTAAAAAGTTTTAGCTGCAACCATGGCCTCTTCAAGCCATAGGGGAGAATCATGGAATTCACCTACATCTTTCTCCATTAAAAACAGGTTTTGCCGCTGTAATCGCAAAGCAACCGTAATGATATCAGAGAGTGAAAGGAATCCAGACAAGTTGTATTTCTATTGAGAAATTTCCAACTTTGTGATGAATTTTAAAAAAATTCTACAAAAGGGGTGATTTTGGGTTTAATTTCCGTCAGGGGGGTCTTCGCATTTGTGAATTTCACAAATGCGAGCTTACAAGAGCTCGCATTCGTGGAATGCGAGCTCTGGTTATTGAGCTCGCATTCCACGAATGCGAGCTCTTCTCAATTTTTTTTTTTCCTTTTTTAAGAGCTAGGGAATTATTTCTAGGAAGCAAATGCGAGCTCTTATCTTTTTTATTTTGGTATTTTTTGAGAGGTAGGGAATTATTTGCAGAAAGCTTCTAATTTTTGTTTTAAAAAATGTTGCAAATATTTAAAATTTTGCAAATAGCTCGCATTTGTTAAATTTGACCTGCAAAAATTGTATTTAACTTTTTTGTTAGATTTCGCATTTATAAGTATGACTTGTAGAAAATTAGATTCAAATTTAGATGTATTAGGGTTTTAAAAATATTATATAAGTGATAAAAATTTTATAAATTGTAAAAATAAAATCAAACTGCTTGGATAATTAAATGTTATATTTGCATAAGAAATAATACAATAATCATACTAATGATAATACAATAATATTGGTGTAATAAAACTGCCATTAATTTAAATATTTACTTATAATGCCCAAAGAGCCTAATTACCAATTTTTTCTTCTCGCGCTCAAATATAACATTAACCCGCATGCGAGCTAACCTTGAAATAGAAAAAACACAGAATCCCGCTTGCGGGTTTCAGGAGTATTCGGATATTCTCATATGCACCTATGCAAATCGAACCAACCGGATATCTTATCCGTATCCCATTTTTTTAAATAAAAATCTTATAAATTTGAAAAATAAAATCAAATTTAGATGTATTAGGGTTTTAAAAATATTATATAAGTGATAAAAATTTTATAAATTGTAAAAATAAAATCAAACTGCTTGGATAATTAAATGTTATATTTGCATAAGAAATAATACAATAATCATAATAATGATAATACAATAATATTGGTGTAATAAAACTGCCATTAATTTAAATATTTACTTATAATGCCCAAAGAGCCTAATTACCAATTTTTTCTTCTCGCGCTCAAATATAACATTAACCCGCATGCGAGCTAACCTTGAAATAGAAAAAACACAGAATCCCGCTTGCGGGTTTCAACGTTATTCTGCGCTTCGTGTGTTTGCTTTTGTTTTGCTTTTGTCTTTTTTTTTCGAAATGGAGGGTTGGCGGTGGAGCTTAGTAACAATTAATTCTTCACTTTGTTGCCGCTACTCCAGTGCATATTAGGACCACTGGTTTGATCACAATTTCCTTTCCATTTTTGTTCTTGTTATTTCCTCTGTTTCTTTTCCTATATCCAGAATGTCGTATAAGACCACATATAAGTGATCTTATATGTGATCTTGTTATTTCCTCTTGTCAAATCACACCAGGCACAAAAAATGGCGCCAATATTGCAGCTCAATTGGCGCCTTACTCCCAAAATGACTGGATTAATTCATGTATCAGGAATCAAGTTTCTATTATTGTTGTTAAGCTTAATTAATCATATCAGATGCCATTATGTAACTAAACGGTAGTAATTAACCCCAACTACTTGGGATATATCTGTAATTTTGGCCCTGATGACGTCAGAAAAGGGGCCCAATTTTTTATCAAGGGAGGTAAGTGAAATTTTGAGAACCTCAGGGGATGTCAGTGAAAGTGTCAGAAACCTCAGGGGAGGTTTCTGAAATTATCCCTTATTTCTAACAACATGCCTAATGAGCGATGAAAGAACCATCTTGCTTTAGGAAACATTCCTAAATTTTAACAGCCCGCTTCAGCATTCCTTCTGTTAATTGGCTATGTACATTTTCTGGACTCCTTGATGCTCTGACAAATAATTTGGTTATGATCCACAGCAAGAATATGGATGGCTAAATGTTCCTAAGTTTTATTTGACAAAAGAAAAGTAATCTTTACTTGTTCAAATCTAGAAACTATTCTTAAGTTAAATTGAACCAAATTCCATCCTATGCGTGGATTAGATTAGTATTGTTTGTTTCCTCAGTACTTCATTTAATATTTGATAGTATAAGTACCATTACGTATATAGTACATATATTATATTGGACAGTACTGCAGTACTAGTGCTATATCTGTACATTTTTAAAATTTTAAATAATGTTAAAACTATAACTTATAGTATTAATCCTAGACTGGAGAATGTGTGTCTATATATATATATATATATATATATATATATATATATATGAGTTTATTGGGAGGGTCGTTTACCCAAAAAAAAAGTACTAATGCTGTGTGTCTATATATATATATATTTTTTGGGTAAACGACCCTCCCAATAAACTCATATATATATATATATATATATAGACACACAGCATTAGTACATTTTTTTTGGGTAAACGACCCTCCCAATAAACTCAAACGTAGACATAAAACAAAAAGACCAAATCATCAACAAAGAGTTATGAGTCGACGACCACACCAACAAAAACCAAATCAACAACCAGCAACAAGGTAATTTCAGCATCTAAGTAGACAATATTCCAAGTGATTTCAGCAAAGATTCAAATCTCCACACAGTGG